ACTAGATGTCATTTACATTTAAGCGAGCTGTAATCACAAAAAAATTTCATTTTTTCATCACTGAAATTTCAATATTCGTTTCACGTTAGATCCTTCTCTTCAAATCACGTGGTTGCGGAGTGAAGGCTGAAAAAGTTGCATGAGAGCAGAGGTCGAGAAAGTTTCGAGGACGAAAGGTGATAGGGAAATTTTTGAGTTATGAATCATTGTTGCACTAATATTTAATTGCAGTAAAGATCTTCAATTTTTGTACTAGATGTATAAAATCGATAACATTATACAAAAATTTTACATGTCAATACTAATCCACAATCAAATTTGTTTTTGTCACACCTATTGTTGTTTTGCTCTTTCTTCCATCTTTGCTGTTGTTAATTAGGAACTTTGCTATCTGGTTGGTCTCAGTTTTCTTAGGAAAAAGTTTGGTTCTCACGAATTGCAAGCTCTTGACATCGAGGTGGATTGAGTCATCTAGGTCTCGATGGAAATGACCATTTCTTCAAATGGAAGGACCCTAGAAACACACTTTTACATCGGAGATCCTTGTCGACTTGGCCAGGTCATCCTTTCCTCTAGGTATTGGGTTTGGGTAGGGCATCAACAATAAATAAGAATACCATTTTTTTATTTTTCATTGGTTGGACGAATTTACCCTTTTGAGAAGGACATGTGCAGTGCACTCAATTAGTTAATGAATGGTCATTTTGGACTGAAAGGTCAATCTGGGGATGCTTTTGCCAAAACTTGAAAGATAGATCCTGAATTCGTAAAAAGTGTACCATAGGGACAAAGGGGTAACTAAGAAATATTTTAAGTAACTTATGCGCTACTACTTTTCACTTACAAGTAAAATTTTAAGCAACTTATTTTTCGCTTATAAGTGACTATTTTGAAAAACTTAAAACATTGTCCCCAAAGCCCTAACCCTAATTCTCTCTACTTCCTTTCCGCACACAAAAAACCCAGAATTTAGAGAGAGAAGGTGAGCTCAGTTTTGAATCTGCAACAATGTCGATGTCGAAGAGTTCGAAGATGCTCCATTACATAAACTATCGGATGCGCGTTACGATCCAGGATGGGCGTCAGCTTATCGGAAAATTCATGGCCTTCGATCGGCACATGAATTTGGTGCTTGGAGACTGCGAAGAGTTTCGTAAACTTCCATCCAGTAAAGGATCCAAGGAGGAGCGCGAGGACCGCCGCACCCTTGGCCTTGTTCTCCTCCGTGGAGAGGAGGTCATTTCGATTACTGTTGAGGGCCCACCTCCCCCCGACGAGTCCCGGGTAAAGGCCACTGGTGCAAATGCTGTTCCGGGACCAGGGATTGGTCGAGCCGCGGGCCGGGGTGTGCCGACTGGGCCGCTTGTCCAGGCCCAACCTGGGCTTTCTGGGCCTGTGAGAGGAGTAGGTGGACCAGCTCCTGGAATGATGCAGCCACAGATCTCGCGCCCGCCGCAGATTTCGATGCCGCCAATTTCTTATCCTCCCCAGCAGCAGGGTTCTGGGGGTCAGGCTCCTGTTATGAGGCCTCCGTCTATGCCGCCTCCAGGTGGATTCCCTCCGAGGCCTGGGATGCCGGGTGCACCTCCTCCACCTCAGTTTAGGCCGGGACCGCCTGGGCAGTTTCCGCCTCCACAGTTTGGGCAGAGGCCAATGGGTCCTCCCCCACCTCAGATGATGAGGGGTCCTCCACCGCCTGGGCAGTTTATGCCTGGACAGATGCCACCACGCCCGGGCATGCCGCCACCTCCTCCTGGCGGACAAGTTCACATGTTTGGTCCCCCTAGGCCTGGAATGCCTCCTCCACCCAATGCATCTTCTCAGAATCAGCAACAGTAGTAATAGCAACTGCTTTAGGTAAGTAATTTTAAATAGAAACTGTTTGTAATGTATTACATGGTAAAATATTGTTTTGTTGTTCTTGAGAACATTCTCTTAGTTACATGACTAACCTGCTTTAGTTAAATGCTGTAGCTGATTTAGAGATGTTATTAGCATTATTATTGTTAATCAATGCTCTTGGTCTAGTAAAAAAAGTTAATTAATGTCTTGTTCTATATTAATATGCCCCATTGTATCAGTAAATTGTTAAACTAAACAGAATACTTGTATCAAATCTTAGATCGAGTATAACTAAGTGTATAAAGTTAGCTGGGAGTCATTGGCTGTTAGTTTAGGTAGGTAAAATAATATATGCAACTTAGATGTATACAACTAAGCATGGTTTAAAAAGGCGGCAGTGAGTCGCATGTAGTATGCCTTGAGTCGGAATTTTTGAGGCCTCTAAATCTCAAGGCGCGCGCCTCATGGAGCTTGTATAAAATTTGATTTTTCAATTGTATGAAAAGAAATCAGAAAAGGCTATTCTTAAAAAAGAGAAGGGCATTTTGGGCCCAAACAAAACAATAAAATACCTAGAAAGATAGAAGAGGAAATTAGATATGATGATGATTCCATTAACGATGCTAATAATAGTGATGATAGTGCAGACTATTGGACTTTTTTTTTAGTTTAAGCTGCTTCTTTTTTCTATTGCAAATAGAGTGATTTCTAACTTCTGTAATGTTTTTTTTTTGTATTATTTTATGATTCTTTTACTTAGATTTTTTATTTTCTCATAAAGAAAAATAGCCTCAGTGCTTAGTTTTGCCTTTTTAAACCTTGCAACTAAATTGTGGAACATTAGAGCATGAATGTCATTGTTACATGTTTGTTTGATTGACTAAAATAGCACATAGACAAGGCAACAATTGTTAGACCGTCAAAATTGAAGTGTTTGGTTGAAGTTGGATTGTGATGTTATTACAGAACTAAGTTTTTAGGTTAAGTTGACTCTACTGACTTGAAAGGTCAAACAATAGAATGTTGCTTAAAGAGACTTCATTTTCATAACTAACCCACAGGACAGGTACTTGATAAAAACAGAGGCATATAATATTATGTCAAAAGATGAAAGGTAGTTGGCTCATTTTGCAGTGAATTCTTCGAGTAGAGATTAGTTTAAGGGTTTCGTGGGCAGTGCAAAAGTAGATTAGAGAAGCAATTCTTGCAGCGTAAATGGCTGCCTTAAGAAAAAATGAGCCATTGTCTGATACAAGAAATAAAGTGGCTCTTAGGACTACTTTTCTTCTTTTTGCTGTTTCTTTCAATGTGTTGAATGGGACGGTTCAAGTTGCATTTATAACTCTTTCATCTCAAAGAAGAGAATTTTTGAGACATTCTTTTGTTCTCCAAATGTTAAAAGACATAATGTATCAGCAATTAGAGGCAGCATTGCTGATATTCGTCTTGCCTAATGAAGAGAATATTTATTGGCATTCTTCCATCTGCATTAATCTAGTTCCACCACTTATCATTTGTGAGACCCACACATTTTGTTCAATCGGAGGCATTTATGCATTTTACCTTGTACATGTTGCACTTCTTCTTTGATCCATTTAAACTTAATCTACCTCTACCTCTGTTCCTGCAATTTTTTTCTGCCGAATTTCGTGCCTTTCCTTAAAATATTCACTTTTTATGATGTATTTGTTGTTATGACAAACATTTTTGCACAGTGTGAATTCTCTAGTATAAAAAGTTCTGAAAGAATCTTTCCCAAGATAAATTTTCATGATGTTGTGTCAAAATATTCAAGTATTAGAAGTTGCAACATCAAAATGCCTTCCATGTACATGAATTGGGGATGTGATGGAATTTTAGCTGGTAAAGTAGCTTTGAACTTGTTCTCTTCATTTAGTACAAGTTTATGCCAAAACCAAAACAAGTTCTTATCTTGAAAAGAAATGCTCATTAACATATAATCCAAACTGGGTGATGTGCAACTTTCAGCTCTATTTCTCTGCTATATTTCATTCTGTTGATAGGATAGCATTCAATTACTTTTGTTTACTATGATTACTGGATACTTTTGTTTGAACTGACCTTGATTTACAATTAATGTACTATTCTTTCATTTTGTAGCAGGGATTTCTCCTGTTTGGTGGTTCGAGTGCCTTGAAGATAAAATCTCAAGGCTATTTTATGGGTAGCTTTATATTTGCTAATGCTTTCTAGTGATGAGATTTTCTGTCTGTAATTATGCTACCTTATTATGTTGTCTTTGCACGGTTTGACCTTCAAAATATTTGTCAGAGATTTTGCATCGTGCGTACATTTATGTTATCGAAAAAAAGAGTTGAAAAATTAAAAATTGGTTAAGATTGCATGAACTTTGCCAATCCCATTTTAGATTGCCACTAAACTTTGTGCAAATTGTACCAAAAGTTCTAAGATTCAAACTAAATGGATCTCAAGATTCCAATTGTGTGTTATACACTTACGCATGTATAATGATTTTCCACATGTTGTCATGCTTGATGTCCTAGTAGTACTCATTTATTGCCTGTGGTAACATTATTATTTTATCTTTAATGGCCTGTAAGAGGCTGGATGTCATGCTTGGCAATGTGATAAATCACTCAACTATAGTTTTTCTATAACATGTAAAATTTATTGGACAGTTGAGATGTGGATACTGTAGTCTACAGAAATTAATTTGGTTGCAACACATGTAAACTATTCCTCAAACCTTAAAAGCCTTTATCTGTAAACTACATGGAAATGCAAGTAATGGAGAAATGGATTTTTGTTCACACCCCACCGATCTGGTTTGATGCTCTGCTTCTAACCATTTAGTATGTGTTGAATATTGGCAGAGCATAGGTTAGTTGAAGAGAAATGATAGACATGCCACGCTGAAACGATAATTATGTTGGCTTGCTTGAGAGTTTTTTCTCACCATTTTTGGGTGGCACATTTAAGAGAGGTTAGAAAAATTGGTGCTTATTAATTTTTTAAATAGAGTAATTTGATGAAACGTGTTTTTCAACCCCAAAATTGGTATTTTTTTTTTATTTTATCATTCCTCTAGATTATTTTTAACCCATATATTTTGTTCCAAATACTTATATATGAAAATATAATAATTAAAAAATAACTTATAAGATTAAAAATTCACTTATATAAAAATTGTTTATAAAGTAAAAATACTACCAACAAGATAAAGCTTCCTTATAATATATAAAAAATTACTTGTATGTTAAAATTATTTTAGACTACAAAGTTAACTTCTAACTATAAAGTAAAAAAATTACTTATAACTTAAAAGTTTAATTATAAGAAAATATTTCAATTTTTAAGTTTAACTTAGGCAAAAAAGTTACAAGTAAATGTCACTTGTGAGCGAATTTTTTTTATACTAAGGGTATGTAATTTAGTTATTAAAAATACTTTCGGAACCACTAGCATAAATTTATCTATTTTAAAACCGCTACTAAAAATACCAAAACTAAGGGCATGTTCTCTTTATCATTTTCAAGTCGTTTACTGTTTTCCATTTTTCAAAATAGTGAAAACGTATTCTTTTTCTCATTTTCAAAAACACATTTTTGAAAACAACTTAAAAATTTACAAAGAAAATTCAAAACAACAAATTGAAATGTTTTCATTTATAATCAAGTCAAAATTTTCAAAATAATTTTTCAAAATACAAAAAAAAATACATTTTCAACAATCTCAAAATAGACACTCAAAACCCAAAATTCAAAAACAAAGAGAACGACCCCTAAACTTTTTATGCACAAAACAACCATTTAAAAAAACCCCATAAGGCCATAACCAGTACCACAAAACTCCCAAGCATGTCCTTCGTGGCTAATTCTAAACAAATCGAAGTAATACATCAGATCAGAAATTTGGTATTCACCCTTTAAATATGTATATATGAGCATCCAATGATATGTCAATCTAGCCTGTTTGCTGTCAGCTCTTTCAAGTGATATAGACTCAGAACTTCGATTTTTGCTAAACATAACCAACCAGCTCGACAGAGGAGCTTTGTATTATCCGTAGGACTCAATTATTGATTTTGATACTATTCTCTAACTCTCCTGTTAAGGATCATTTAAAGATCAAATCCCGGAATGCGTTTGACTTGATCATTGTTTAAGTGTGACAAATATAGTTTTTGATCATCTAGAGGTATGAAACAAGATTGGTCGGATAGCAGCCTTAAAATCTTCAGAAAATCTTTGTTCTGAGAACCTTAAAGCTCGTCTCCTCGCAGCAGTAGCCATCTCAAGCCTCTCAGGTTCAGGCATCTTAATGATTTTGAGGATAGCATCTGCATATTCTTGCACACTCTGAGCAAGAAATCCAGTTTGCTTTCCTTCTTCTGGTAAAACAATGTCCATCTTCGGGCCAGCTGAATTATGGGCTGACAACTCAAAAAACTCGTAAGTTGATTGCCAATACAGAAATATGAGATACATATAACATGAGACGATAACAATAATATGAAAAATTGGAAACACACCAATTGGTATGGCACCAGAAGCCATGTACTCCACTACACTTATGCCAAAATGCTCGTCTACCATGGAATGAATTCCCACAGCTGCACCACCCAAGAGTTTCACCAGCTCGCTGCAGCAACCCAAAAAAGTATAAATAAATACTAAAAGTCCATATCCTAAAAAGAACATGACGGTAAATAATCTTAAAATGGGACAAGCACAAATGTATGATATTAGTTAAGAACATATTGAGAAAACATCAACAGGTTGAAGCACCTACTGCAGCTAGTTATAGATGATATATGTTGGTAAACTGGACAACATACAAACTTAACCAACATGATAGTTTCAACTGCAAAAAACTCTCTTCCGGCAAATCGATATGCAAAATAGGACATAATAGTTCCCAAATCAGAATGACAAGTTCTTGAATGGGGTGGCCATCGTTGCTATGAAGGCAACTCTTTTGTTTAGTATATTTGCTTAGAATCGTTAAGTTCATTGTATAAGACCATTAGAACTTATAATGCAAGTTAATAGTCAGTATTTTTGCTAGTAAAAATGTTGTAGAATTCCACGAAATATCTAGAATCAGTTATTGGTAGAAAAACATAAAGTGCATGTTTGGTATGTAATATTAAACTGTTGGACAGTGCAATTACCAAGATTAATTTTCTTTTCTTTCTTATTAATGAAGAGTGTTGTCTAATACATCTTTTATCAAGCATGCTAAACGAGTAAAATCACAAACCTGTACAACACATTTTTATGGAACTCCACATCACTATCCACCTTCAGCACATTAGCTCGATCCCTGAGGTCTTGCAATCTTTTCTCATCTGCTTCATTTCTGCAACTACCTACAAATTGGAGCTTTGGTCTTGGCAGATCTGCATCTAAATTTTTTACAGCAACTGCAAATGCCTCAAGTTGAAGGAGGTGTGCCTGTAAAATATGAATCAAGATCAAGCACATTTCCCAAAACTTAAAAGGTTCATAGAAAACAAACTTCTTAAGTACTGTTATCTTGATCTAATAAAAAACCCACCTTCTCTGGACGAAATTGAGCCACGGATATTATCTTTGGTGATTGCATTGGCCTTTCTAATGGTAGCACCTGCTTGGACAGTGCAGGTTAGCATTTATACTTACAAAGAAATCATTTCAAGACAAATCAAGACTTGCAGTAAAGCATCCAAAAATTCCTTCCATTTCCTTAATCATTTTAACACATGAGATGCTCAAAGTAAGCTGGGATAAGTAGTTTAAATCAATAAGGAGCCTTATAAGACTGGAGGTTCATAACTTGGTAAGAGTTGATAAACAGATTTTATTACACAAAAAACTTAAAGACACACAGACCTTATCATGATACTAAGTACCTATTCCAGAGCCTTTTTACAACATTATCAAAATAGAAAATAAGTTTCTAAAATACAAACCTGAAGCCTTGAAGTATCACATGGAGGATAAACTCTCTTAATACGATCTGGAATTCCCCAAAGCTTCTCAATATGGGATTTTGTCCATGAAGAATTAACAATTGCAAGGTGTGCACACGAGCCTACTGTTCCATACATCCAGCTGAAAATCATGTAATAGATGACTTTGCACCATGACAGCAGCGCACTGAAAGAAAAATATTGGTTAGCTTCATGAATTTGGTAGACAGAGCAGATGAAAACTAATAGGTTCATCAAGATTTTGAAATGGCTTTCCTTTGGTACACAATATGTAAATACTGTGAAGTACAGTTAAAAAATCGAAACAGATATTTGAAAAACAAGATCTCCTAATCACTTGTCAAGCTGAGAAACTCAGAAGACGCAAATGGAGGGGAAAAGATTACATAACTATGTAGATTTTTCTAGCCCATACATTTAGGAAGATTGGAAATAACCATTGATGGAGCATGTTTACTCAGACCCGAAATGAGATTTTTCTCTCCATATCTCAAATTAGATTATTCACACTATTTTGAGAAGCCATATGCACGCAAACACCAAGTTTCCTCAACAATTAATGCAGTAAACATCAAACCATCTTTTGGGTTAAATATCAGAAGAAAAGAAAAGCATTACTACATTTCAAAGTTGAGCCCATTCCATGGGACAATCTTAATATACAAGCTTTATATTAGAAGTCGAAAAAAATACCTCTTAGCAATGAAAGCATCATTGTTGTACAGAGAATTTTGTGCATGAACACGAGATAGCATGTCTAAACTGATTGTTGGGTAATGTGTGTAGCTAATAACTTTACATCCACACAACCGGGCAATGGGATAAGTAAATGCATATCCACTGGTATCTAAATAATACAAAGGAGTAAACTTGCACAAAGCTTCCCATGAAAGGTACACAGAACCAAAGCTCTGACCAATCATAGTGAATCGAGGATACATGGTTTCTTCAACCCATTTCCTGTTATAAAGATGCACCACCTGATAAATGGAGCATATTCATAAATTTTAAGAACTGATATAATATATTATTCAAAAACGAAACTGAGCAAGTCAAAATATTGAAAAGTAAAAAAGAAAAGACAGAAAAGAAAATAACTGGGCCCAAAAACTGCTAAATTCTTTAATTTCTTGTTTATTTCCAAAGCTCCAATTTGCATGTCAATTTGCTACTTATCAAAATGTAACACTTAAATATAGAAAATTACACTTGAATGATGATACTTCATATAGCGTGCCTGTTTCGCGTGGATTCTGATTCTCGAGTATTTTCGTCCCATCCGAGCAGTTTAGCAATGATATTTTCGCAAATTTAGCAAGTTTTGGGTCATTTTCTCTTTGCCTTTTATTGTTTTTCCCAACATATCTTCCAACCTATGAAACATGAATGTGGATGTGTTTGACGTGTCTGGATATGTCCAACACGTGCTATGGTGTTGGAGATTAATAGCATAGGAAACCAACACTCCGGCAGCATGTCTGTGCACATAACTTCCAACCACAAAACCATACTACTAATCACATCCCACTGTGCCCCAATCTCATCGGTCCGCTCATATCTCTTACTCCTCATTGTCAAACTAGACGCATGTCAACCAATTACCGACACAAAAGTTCCCCTCCTCTCTCTTACTTCTCATTTTCAACCTAGATGTATGTCAAGCATCCACCTAGACCAAAGTTTAACCCATCTTCAACCACCGGAGACACACAAATGGCCAAACCACTGCCGCCATTCCCCATTCCAATCATCATGCCTCTGCTATTGTTCCCCGCCCATTTAGACGTATCCACCGTGTTTCACCACTGAGAACATTCCTACTTGCATCCCAAGCTTCTGATCTTGGCTCTATTCATTCGAATGGAAACAAAGAGACGAGTAGAAGTGCACTTCTAATGCCAACATTAAGAATGCTCTCCCTTCACATTGGTTATCTATCTACAATTGAATGCCATTTAGTAAAGAAAATTTGTTCTTTTCAATTTTGACTTTCTACTTTTTCTGCACCTAAATAATAGGTCCATATTAATATAAACAAATCTAAAACATATCTCAAATCCAATCTACTGTGAGTGAGCCTGATATTAATAGAAGATAAGAACTTCTCATATTAGGCTAAACTGAACCACGGCGTTCTCCATTATTTTAACTTATTTCAGCAATTCTTGGATATGATTCATACAATTCCACGCGATTAAATCATTGGAAAACCCAATGTGTGCTGTTATGCGTTCACTCTATCTATTTAAAACTAAAAACAACCAAAACCACATTCTTAAGACATTCATGTAAAACATGGGGGTGTATAAATGTAGGACTGTTCATAGAAGGACTTGAAAGAAGAAATTTACACAGATTAGTGTAGGATTCCATTACATACCTACGCATGTATATGGGTACGAAATGGAATGTACCTTGGGAGAGTGGAGTAATTTGACCCCAAAACGATCTAGGGCTCGGACGGAGAGGGATTTAGGGGAGGCATCATGATCACCGGTATAGATGACACAGTCAAGATCGGGTGACTCTTCTTGTATTGCTTTGACGGCGCACCAGAGAACTCGCTCACCTCCACCGCCGTCGTTTGTGTACGGATGGAAGAATCCCACGGCTTTCTTCTTGTTTCTCCGGCAACTGATTACAGCTGAGAAGAGTCGGATAATAAATGCCAATAACAGGCTTCCGAGCGACAAAGTCAAGATGAGTAGCCATTTAGCCATTCGATAAATATAATGACTTCAATTAAAATCTTCAAACATCAAATTCAATACATCCACACCGGATTTTCAATCATGATAAAACCCTAAAATCAACACAAGAAATAACTTCGATATAGCTGGATGTAATGATCCCAGGTTTAGACAGTAATTGGGAAGACGAGTAACAGTAAACATTTATAAAAATTTTACACCACTAAAATTTACAGTAAAATATTAGTTATAAGATATAAAATTATTTATAAAATTAACTTATAATTTAAAAAATTACATAGTAGAAATAAATAAATAATCTAATTTGTAAAAAATGCTCATCAGTATAAAATATTACTTTGAACCAAAAAATTCACTTATAAGTAAATTTGCATATACGTTTAAAATTGAGTCATGTTAAAAAATCACTTACACGTAAAGTTTCACTTATAAGTTAAGTCCCAGTTTGTTTCTCATTTTTCATTTATAAAAATGAAAAATATGACTGTTATCCATCAATGTCTCCGTTTGTTTCTCATTTTTCATCCAAAAAAATTAAAAAATATGACTGTTATCCATCACATCAAGTCATCAATTTTGAATTTCTATATCTTGTGTGGAGCTCAATAACGATTATATTTTTCATTCGCATTCTACAATAATGAGAATCAAACGGGCTCTAAATATTTACTTATAAGTAAAAAATTAGCTATGATTCAAAAAATTTACTTCTACGTTAAAAAAATCACTTATATGTTATATTTAATTACTCTGATAAGGTGATCAATGTGATGTGAAGATATGATCAATCAACGGTATAATTTTTAAGATTTCTATATTTGTATTCTGTTATCATGTTTAGTGTTGTCTAGAGGCGAAGTCATGAATATTGTCCAGTACAAGGCTGGACTTTGAGATTTCAACCATGAATTTAAAGACGGTAAAAATATAAAACAATATTAATATGGCAACACTAGAAACGATATAAATTATAAATTACACTTGTTCCTTGCAATTTTTTATACTTTAATATCTTTGTGCAATGACTACATTATTAATCTTAAAAAAAATATATATTTCTCTATGTAAACAATTATTCTATCATTCATCGACTAATCACCTATCCGATTGTGCAATCTATCATTTTGAATGTTCATTGCGGGAAATATTCTCTCCGTAGCCATGGTAGCAACCGGTAGAATAAACTAGTAGACTATCAGTGTCCTTAAGGATAATGCAGATGGTGGTTTCAATAAAGTAGTAGACTATTGGTTTGATTTTGACAGAAGGCTAATGCTGCTTTGAACTGAAAGGAGGTTAAATTCTAAATTCCAAATAACCATGGTCAATTTTCATTTTCTCTAGCCACTTTGGTTCCTCTAGTCTTTTCCACTTTTACTTTATTTTAACATAAAACATTGAAGCAAAATTGATGCTAATATCAGATTGAAATATAAATGAGCAGAAATCTAAGAGTTAATTGTCCCAATGTTCACTAAGCTTATGTACGTATCTTCGATTGCTCGCTAAAATTTAAGATATTGAGTTCTGAACCATTAACTTATCCAAACGTTAAATGTTACTTATTGACATAACATATGTTTCAAACTTTTAATGAAATTAGTGACGTGCCTAACGGAATGCACATGTAGTGCTTTGTCATGTCGTTAACAAATTGTCACGTCTTTAATTGTTTACTAAACTTCTAAAAACGTCTTCAATTCCTCACTAAACTTTGAAAAACATCATCGATCGCTCACTAAAGTTTGAGGTTATCGAATTTTGGTCACCAAACTTATTAAATATGATGCCAACATGTTTGTTCATTAAAAAAATTGTACCGCAAGCACACCCACAGATCACGTGAAAGTAATAAAGTGGACAAACGAGTTCGAATTGTCGATCTCACGAGAAATCGATTACTCAATTACACGATGCTTAATTTAATTTGAACATATTTTTGTAGAAATTTAAACTATTTTCATCATTTGAAAAATTCAAATTTAATTTTAACACATTTTTAATGAACAACAATCCAACACCATTTTTATAAATTTAGTGACCAAAATTCAACTACCTCAAATTTCAGTAAACAATCAAGAACATTTTTCAAAATGTAATGAGCAATCGAAGACGTTTCTCAAAGTTTAGTAAGTAGTCAAAGATATGACATTTTGTTAACTGCGTGATGGGACGTCACACGTGTATTCTATTAGCCACGTCACTAATTCCATTAAAAGTTTAAAACGAATATTATGCTAGCGAGTAACGTCCAACGTTTGGATAAATTTAGTGACCAAAACTAAACATTTTAAACTTCAGTGGACAATTGAAGACACATACATAAGTTCAATGACCATTGGGACAATTAACTCAAAATCTGATTGAAAATTACTTGAGATCCATGAGCGAGAGGGGGCTGAAATGTAGGTTTTGAATTTGGAGAATTGGACTGGATGTTATAATTTTTATCTTGTGTTTCAAAATTTTCTCTTGGGATGGGTCAATTGGAAAAACCCTTTACTGGAAGGGATAAAAAAAAAGAATTGGAATGCACACAAAGTTTAGTGCCTGCACTGGATTGCGTTGGGCGCTGTCCCTGGTGTTGTCTGATTTAGCATACCAAACTTTTTAGCAAGTCGAGCTTGTATACATTTTCTTCCGTTTCTCGAACTTGGCATCGGTTTGATCTCATTTTTCAAAATTCATTTTTAATTATACATTTCATAAGATCTACAATATTTATCAATTTTTTATTCACACATTTTACCAACATTTATTAAAATCTACAAAAATTTTGATTTTTAGTATAATCAAACACGTGGCTTATATTGTTGGACCAAAACATAATCATTTGCAGAATTTTCAGCGGCCCAAAAGGTTTGGGCTTGCAAAAAGGGCATTTTTAGTGGCCCAAAAGTTTTCAGATCGAAGAAGTGTTTTATCTGCGCGATAATTACATAAAACCAGCTGTTTACTTTTNCTTCGCAGCAGCATCAAAGCGACGCTACTGTCCCTTCCCCCTCCCCCTCCATCCCTATGTGCCTTGATGCAGTGATGTGCAAAATACATTATTCTTTTCCTTTACTCTTTCTTCTAATTTCGGTTATGCGTAGACTCTGACGAACATTTGGTACTGGTAGTTTGTTATGTGACGCTCCTAGGGTGTGTGGGTGTGGCAGATTGGCTATTGTTGTTTGCTGTGGGTGGCAGATTGGTAGTTGGCTGTTGATGTTTGCTGTTGTTGGTAGCGGATCTATTGTTGGAGGTTGGCTGTTGCGGGCGTCGGATCTGTTGTTGTTGGGGGGCTGTTGCGGGCGGATTTGTTTGTGTGTCATGGTAGGTAGTGAAGGTCGGCGGATTGGGTTCAGTTTTCGTCCTGTCGTGTGTTGTGTGGCTGGTTAGCTTGTGTTCGTGTGGCGGCGATAAAATGACCGTTCGTGTGATGGTGTTGTGATGGGGCCGACGATATTGGTGGTGTTGTGCAGGGGGCGATGATGGCGGTTGTTGTGTTGGTGTTATTGTTGGAGGTGGTTGTGACTGTGGCGGTGGTGGTATGTATGGGATGATGTGNTGGCGGCATGTATGGGATGATGTGTATTTGGTCGATCTGTGACCCGTGACCAAGTATTGGTGGTATACTGGGATTGGGGGACGGGTTCGGCGGATGGGATGAAGTGTCTGTGACCAACCATTTGGTCGATCTGTGACATGTGACCAAGTATTGGTGGTGTACTGAGTTGGGATCGTGACCTTAAAATTCGTTACTATGTGACTGAAAATATACTATGTGACCAACAAATATGGAATAATTTTTTTAAGTTGTGACCAATTAAAAATCTGTGACCTCCATAAAAAAATTCGTGACATGTAATTTTTTTTATCAGTGACCAATGAAGTCAATTGTGAATGACTCAATTTTTTGATCTGTAATCTCGAAATAATTTGTGACCAATTAATTTAATAAGTTGTAACTGAAAATTAAAATTTTAACTATTTAATAAAATATCTGTGACCTCGAAATCAGAGTAATTACCAGAATTAAGCGGCGGTGAAACGGTCGTCGGAATAGTCGCCAGAATTAAGTGTAGCAAGAGAACAGTCGCCGGAGTAGTCGTCGGTCACCGGAGTAGTCGCCGGAGCAGTGGGGTGGGGTGGGGTGGGATGGGTTAATTATATTATATTACAGTTAAATATTTAATTTAATATAATAATTGTGAAATATAATTAATTAATTCATGAAGAACCTGATTTTTGTAATTCTAAACCTTGGAGTCTGATTTTTATTTTGGGATAGATAAAGCTTGAATTGTGAATTTTTCCCTATGGAAAAACGATGGAGGTTTTGAACCCAAAAATTCAAAGCAAACTACACTCAAAAGAGTTCAGCCACGGCCCACGGTGAAGAAAGCATCGAAAAGCATCTAAACATTCTATTTTTATTTANTCTCATATAACTTTATTCTCTACCATAGGCCATGAGGCTAATTTCACAATCACCCATTATGAAAATTTTACGTTCAAACTTTCAATAAAAAAAATTAATTCGATTTGCAAATACAAAATAAAATATAGATAAATAACCTATTTTTAAATTGTTTAAACCTTTAAACTAGTAATGCATGCGAGAGCATATATGAAATGGAAGTGGGTTTGAGGAAGATTTTTGGACTTCATTTTGGGTGATATAACGTTGATTGTGTTAATATCAGCAGCTATAACTTTTGGACAAAATTGTAACGATATGTATATGCTGAAATATTTTCACCAAGTGGATGGATAATGCGAGAGCATGATTGAAATATGAGTGAGCTTTGGGTGAATTCTCTATTTAATTTTCAGTGATATAGGGTGACCTATTGCTTTTGAGCAAAGTGATGACAATGCTTTAAACTAGTTATATCAGAGTTGAATGTCCCACGTGTTGAGAGTTGAAATTAATTCCTTAAATTTGTCCACATGATCTTTTGTTTATAAAAAATAACGAAACAAAATACAAGACAGAAAAATTTATGGATGGTCAAAACTTT